CTCGAAGCTAGTCACCAGTGGGCACTAGTTCAATTGAATTTGACAGTTTACAGGGATTTAGAGATTTTTTCAAGTTTGTATTCACCATGGACTGGCGTCAGTCCTATACTGGGAGGAAATAACTGTTCAGTGATCCCAAGTTTCTAATGTTCCTCCAACTGATTTCAGTTCATGATAAATGCAAACTTGAAGAAAATTTTCAATGTTACTGTACTATATCGATAGTGCAATAATTTCGGTAGACTTCACAAGTTTAAACAGATGTGAAAAAAAATACGTCAGGCAATTCATTAGTCATTTACATCGGATCAGTATTAAATCAGCTTGCCCCATTTCTCTTTTAACGACTTGAATGATTTATACTGCGGTTCTCATATACTTATAACGAAAAAAAGAGAATTTTAAATGTTTTTTAAAAAGTCATTTCCAACTGCTAATCAAACAATTCAACTGGATTACGACCGGAACAGGTTGACTGGCTTCAAGAGAAACAAATCACTGTGAGGATCAATTTGCAACGCCAGAACAGTCAGTCCACGGGATCTTCAACTCAACTTCATTGATTTTGCAAACGCCTTTGATCTAGGCAGTGACCGAGAAGTATTTGGCAACTGTTGCTTTAACACTACGCTTTTAGTACAACAAACATTTATCAACCTCATTCAACAGCTATATGCTATATGATGATGCCACATGCCAAGTGATTCACAATGGGAAGCTCGGTAACGCATTTGCAGCGAAGACAGATTGACAGGTAAGACAAGTTATTCTACTATCACCGATGACCTTCCTGGACTAGATCATTCAACAAACTGTGAGGAGCAAAAAGATGGACACACACTACTCGATCGACGAAAAGACGACAGAAGATTTACATTCCACCAACCATGATGATTTATATCGAATATCGCACAGACTCGAAGACCTACAGGCAAAAACTAACGAGTTGGCAGAAGAGGTGAGGCAAGGCAATGAAAAGATGAGACTTCCTTCAAGTGAATGTGGAGAATACGGAGGTGATGAAGATACCCAAACAACAACAACAAGCACCAATCATCATCAACGGCAGAAACCCAAATGAAGTTGTCTCTTTCACCAACCAACCTACCAACCAACCAACCAACCTACCTACCTACCTACCTACCTACCTACCTACCTACCTACACACCTACCTACCTACACACCCACCTATCTACCTAGGCAGCAGCACTTCAACTACAGGCCACACAGGAACAGATGACGACGTCAAAGCCGGAAAGACAGCCAGTTAGGCCTTCCTGAATTAATCTGAAATAAGTGTGGAGATCTACTTCACTGCATTCAGTATGTGGAAAAACATCCGGAGTTTCAACACGAATGTCAGTCCTGTCAGTCAGTGCTTCTATGTGACGGTTGAGAGACTTGACACATTACAAAAAGCATTTCCAACAAACTGCAGACACACATGAACACCTACCACCTACGCCTACTCAGTAGTGAAGATCAATCAGGTGGCCAGAATAATAAGAGTAAGAAACAAGGAACTCTGACCTGTCAACGAAATAACGAAGCGAGAACCCATCGCCTAACAAATATGCATAAGAGGAAAGTGGAAATGGATTGGGCATACACTGAGAAGATTGATTGGGGATATCACGCGTCAGGCTAGACCAGGCCATCGAGTGGAGGCGAAATAGGAAATGACGAGTTGGGCGTCCGTGGTGTGGGGTGACATGGAGGAGATGGTGTGGGGAAGAAATGAGGCTGGTGTGCAGGCATTCATGTATCCAGGTTGAGAAGACTGTAGAGAAGGTGGTGAAATGGCGAGGCTCTACTCAAGCCCTGTGTTCCACCAGGAACTTAAGAGGCAAATAATGATAATAACCAGTTGGTTATCACAGTCTGTCCAGGGATTCATCTATCATTTTAATTTTCTTAATTTGTTTTCTTTCAATAGACCAGTTTAAAGCCAATAACCTGAACTCCTTGACTTCTGAATATGTTATCAGAAACGATAACGTCATATATAGTAAGGTTTTCTGTTTGTGATTGAATTTCTTCGCTAATACATTTCTTGATCACTTAAAGATTCACCCTTACGATCAGTAAACCGATTCAATAAATAGTCGAAGTCATGCAAAAATTGGTAATCCATTATTGTGTCGAATGAACAAGTCTTCTTATGCTTTGACTAATAAACCTATGTATCCTAAAGGTTTCAGTCTAGAAGTACAATGCTTTATTTCTTCTCTATGATAAAAATAGTTATTTTATTGTACTCAATGTCAGTTGTAGGTATATTCCAGTTAAAGCCTACTTTTGACGTTGGATTCCAAACTAAAAAGGAGGACTGTAGTTTGGATACTTCCGTCCACAAAAGTAGACATATTCTAATAGGTATCTAGACTTGAAGCCATCTAATCCAATGTCAATTAAGGCAGGTTTAGTCAAATATCTAAATGATAAAGCTAGAAAACTGACTAGTTATTACAAGGACCTAAATAAAGAACTGAAGCACTTAAAAGAACCGCTAACAGTTTATAATTATCATCTACAGTTTATTAAAAACTCATACGAACACACAAAAAATACACAAATCACACGAGTATAAATAATAACTACAGTACTAGTAAAAAGGAGTTTAACGCCTTCATTGTGTTACTATATAAGGAAAGTATATCAGAAAGTTTACGTAGGATCCTCAGCAGAGCTTGAATTAGGGTGGCATTTAAATATACAAACTCACTCAGAGAAAAGCTTTGTCAGCTGACTTAAGGATCCGATAGAACCAATTAAGCAAAATAATTTAATCTATCAAATTGCATGTAGTGACTGTGAGGCCAAATACATAGATCAAACTAGCCGGTTAGGGACAGTTAGAATGGCGAAAGATAGGAGTTTGGCTAAAGATAGAATGACAGACCCGAATAAGATTAATAATCTAGAAGACAACTCGGCTATTGTAATGCATGCATTAACACACAATCACACAATAGGCTGGGTTGGATAAAACCACTGTACTTAAGTCCAATTTAGTTAGTTAGGTGAAGAGAGAGACTGATTACTGAATCTTTGCCCACCGAATCAATACCTACCCAAGATATGTGACAGAAATCACGCAACACCTATACCAGAGATATGGAAAATTTTAATACCACCAGAAACAAATCATATGAGTTGATGTAACTATAAAACTCAGATATCGAAAGGAGTGTGTGATTACATTGAAGTGATTATGAGAAATAATTTACGCTGGAAATGTCATCCAGCAAATAATCTTGCATTACCGTGTGTTATAAATTGAATAAACAAGCCTAATATGTAATTAACTTCTACCACAGTGCCCAAATTATACACTTATAATAATCCCCACTTTGATGTTTATCGGTATCATAATGACTATCTGAGATAACCGTGTTTTGGTAGACTTGTATTGTTACTGGGTGATGATTGAGGATGAAATGAAAATTTTGGTCACATCAAGATTGGAACCAGCAACCACAGAGTTTCCAGCTTGGTGCTCTACCCACTGAGCTACGAGACATAACTTCTGATGAAATTTTTGTAACAGATTAGTATATCAAAAGGATACAACTTAATCCTAATACAACAGTAGTGTAACAGAATGGAGAATGATGGAGAATATTTGTAGCTAAGGTGGATGGTCATGGTTGTATTGTATTTTCTGAGATGAGTTGTTTAGTCATGGAGCTTTCATCACCTTGCTAGACGATATCATCACCACCAACTTCAGAAGGAAGTAACCTGCCAATATCTCTCCATCAGTGATTTGGTCGCTTACTCTGACAATATGCTCTGTGATTGGTTGTCCCCTTCGATTGTTGTATCATTGATTGTATAGACTTTCCTCTTGGCTGTTACTCTACTTAACCTCTCACCTTTCTGTCGTTTTTCATTTCTATAATTGGTTGATAGATTGGGTCTATGTCTATACATCTATTGATTGCTGACTCACTGATGTGAATGCCAAGCCTCTAGGAATTCTCTGATATTCTTTGTGTTCCCTCTCTCCGTCCAAAACTTCTACATTGTCGAGATTGAATTCATGTGCATAGTTGTTATCCACGTGCATTGAAATGAGTGATGAAATGTCGTGACGTTTAATAGCCAATTGATGCTCATGTAGACAAAGGCGAAGACGGCCACCGCTTTGTCTAATGTAGTACTGACTACAGTTATTGCAGTTGATTTTGTAAATCATATTCGGTTTGTCTTCTTTGCTTGTTGCATCCTTTGGTCACAGACCACATCGTCAGAGCAAAACCCACTAAATCACTCACGGAGAGATATTGACAGGTCATTTCATACTGAGGTTAGTACTGATGATGTCGTCTAGCAAGGCGATGAAAACTTCACGATTAAACAACTCAGCTCAGAGAACACAATACAACCAAGAGAATAGAGAATATTTATTGAGTTTGTTTACTTATTCACTTGTCAGATATAGCACATTATGAAAAAGTATTGTCTCATTTCATAATAGGTTCACATGTTTGCAACATGGTCAGCATTTTTCACGGTAACTTGATGTATAAACTGTTAGTAGATTATGTTCTTAAATGAAAAAAATGCAGTTTGAAGCCGAGAATGAATGATAATCTATCACTGTATCCAAGTTCTAATTATGTAACCATTGAAATAAAAGGATAAACATATGTGAACGTTGAAAACAGCGGATAGATAAATTCTGATGCACTAACAGAAATATCATCTGCCTTCAAATCTACATAAATATCATGTAAGCGATAGGATTATACATCGATTGTTGTGTGATTCGATGAGTAGTATAGAGTTACAATTTTGTATACGCTAAATACACCTACTCTTGTATATTCATGAACATAATTTCTGGAAAACAGTGGAATACCTACACCATCTATTCCACCAAAACAAAAGAAAACTAATTTCTTTACAAATATCTATTTATTCAAAGAGACATTATTATAAAAAATATTCTGTACATCTTCTAAGATTACTTGAAAAAAAAAATTTGTTTATATCTTTGGGCGGCAATTTAAATTAATTCGATACATTAGGATGTTGATAGATAAATATAAATAAATTGCAAACAAATAAAATTTAATACATTTTCTTGACTACTTGACTAAACAACCTGAGGATTACTTTATAATACAATAGACTTTTATGATTAATAAACTTTTTAATTAATCGATAATTTTAGGGCATGCTAGATTCTCACAACTTCATTTTATTATCCTATTGGAGATATTTAGTATTGAATATCTCTGAATATAGTTGGGCTAAAATTGTTCATCTATTTCTTTATCCTTTCTTTAAGTTGATATAAATTGTAACGGCAATTTTAATTTCATACAACCTACAAGATCTTTATTCTCCATTTCAAGTTTGACTGTGATATGAACATCAAGTTTCTGAAAATGAGAAAATAAGGTGAAAAAAAATTGTATAAAATGTTTGCTAACCCTTTTGGTGATAATTTAAACAAGTATACACTAACCACTTACATCTTAAGGTGTCATCGGGATATAGTAAGTTTTAAAAACGATAACCATTTAATCAAAAGATGATAAATACCAAGAATCTTCATATTTTAGTGAAATAAAAGGCTGATAAAGAGAATATGAACAGTGTGTTATATAGAATTCTTCGCAATTGAGATGTACATCCCGAGAATATATATATATATATATATATATATATATATATATATATATATATATATATCAGTATATTTCGTCTATAAGTTGACATTCTGGTTAATTGGAATCTGTATGCATTAAATTATGTCTGCATTCTGACTGATTATACGTTTATTTTTATATTTCATATGAAACTTCCCTTCAATACAAAAGGAACCTGGTGAAATGCTTAGCCTACCGTACCTAAGATATTTGCTCAGAGGATGCTGTAAACGAAGAGTGCGCCACCATCTGTGACCTGCTTAGTAGGATTGGCTACCCAGACAAGTTTGTAACTAAGCACATAAATATTATGAAAGTTAAGACAACAATGCCAACAGTTTCTAAGAAACAGATCTTCTTGAAGCTGGAATTTAAGAGTGATATTACCAGTGAGATCATCACACAACACATAAACAGAGTCTTGCATAAAGCATTCCCAGCCGCTAAATTATGTCCCGCCTTCTAAAACCACCCGATTCTAGGTGCAAGAAATAAAGTAAAAACTGCCTCAACCTGCCACTTCTATGTGCATTTATCAGTTCAAATGCTCCTGTGGAGCTAGTTACATTAGGTGTAAAATGAGTCAGTTCCATCGTCGAATTTCTGAGCACCACTCATCATGGTTGAACAAGGGAAAAATTAGAACTATAAAGAGCTCCATTATTGCACACCTAGTTGACACAGGACATCAAGTGGATACTAGAAAATCTTTCAAAATTATCCATCAGATTCCAATTAATTTACTACATGGATTACGCACTCGGTTACTTCACATTGCAGAGGCGATTGCAATCCACCTCCGACCACTTTCATTACCGTGACCATCAACATGATGTAACTTCTAGGTTTACTTTGCACATCTCTTCCTCTTCTTGTTTCTATCAATATTCATATTTCCAATTTTAGCAACTCTATTGATTATTTACATCATTATTTCTGAAACATCACTAAGTGATTGGTAATTTCATTAAATTGTAAACCCCCTATATTATTAGTGTAGAGCCCAAGATGAAGACCTAATTGAAAAGGAATATATTTCTTCGCCTAATCAGTCTTTTTTTAAATGTCTAAATGGGAATATTCAATGTATTAAAACATAATCACTGGGATATGGGAAAATAATCCTAAACACCAATCTTTTGTGATAACTGAAAACTTTACTAAGAGAGAAAAATAATTACAACCTGTAAAATTTCACTGTTTTGTACCATATATTAGGATTGTCATTATTCAAGATGATACATTGATGAAGTTATGTGACAGTTGCGGCCAGTTGGATCCAGTTGAAAGTTTCCTCTATTTTTTCTAGAATCTAAATTGCTGCAATTTCTTCACCCTACATTTCTATACTACATCCACCAGCTAATGAATAATAAAATGTACATGATAGATAAATTCTGCTGGTGAAAAAACATACACTCAAGATAATGCAGAAGATATGTAGACTACAAAATGAGTTTGAAAACTATTTGTTCTTGTATGGTTCTTGTATAGTCAGACTCAGAAAACGCTGAACAGTTGTCATATATTAGAAGTAGTATTCATCATGAACTGACATCAGTTGGGGAACCATTGGAAATCTGGGAGCACTGGACATCTGTTTCGTCCTAGTACGGGACTCCTCAGCAGTACGCACCCATAACCCGGCTAGGGATCGAACTCAGGACCTTCAGGTTTCACGGCGGACGCATTAAACATTCAGCTACTGGACTGGTTTCCATTGGTTCACAATTTCCAACTTCTGTCAATTCACGACACAGCACGACTGTCACCCAAAATCTTCAGTTTGCATCCACTTCACTTCAGACTGGTTGACCCCACAGGTCACGTCTTCTCACTAGGACTTCCTGACATCCATCTGGAAGCAAGTCACTAATGGGCAGAGCACTGTAAAGGAATGTATTTTTGAGATGAATGGGGATTTTTAATTTTAGAAGTAGCATTCATCATAGTTAACCCGTTCGCCGTGAAACCTGAAGGTCCTGAGTTCGATCCCTAGCCGGGCCGTGGGTACTTACTGCTGAGGAGTCCCACACTAGGAGGAAACAGCTGTCCAGTGCTCCCGGATTTTCAATGGTTCCCCAACTGATGTCAGTCTATGATGAATACTACTTCTAAAATTAAAAATCCCCATTCATCTCAAAAATTGTCATGTATCTTTTTTATTGTTCAATAAGAATTTCAGGACCCAATTCTGGTTCTTGACATCGTCTAATAGGCTACCACCATATGCCCCAATTAAACACATAGTTTTATAAGAACTGGAAAATGAAAAGAACATATAGTGGAGAATATTTGTAACTAAGGTAAATGGTCATGGTTGTATTGTATTTTCTGAGATGAGTTGTTTAGTCATGGAGCTTTCAACCTCTTGCCAGACGATATCATCACCACCAACTTCAGAATGAAGTAACCTGCCAATATCTCTCCATCAGTGATTTGGTCGCTTACTCTGACAATATGCTCTGTGATTGGTTGTCCCCTTCGATTGTTGTATCATTCATTGTATAGACATTCCTCTTGGCTGTTACTCTACTTAACCTCTCACCTTTCGATCGTTTTTCATTTCTGTGATTGGTTGATAGATTGGGTCTATGTGTATACATCTGTTGATTGCTGACTCACTGACTAACTGATGTGGATGCCAAGCTTCTAGGAATTCTCTGATATTCTCTGTGTTTCCTATCTCCGTCCGAAATTTCTACATTGTCGAGAGATTGAATTCATGTCCATAGTTGTTATCCACGTGCATTGAAATGAGTGATGAAATGTCGTGACGTTTATTAGCTAGTTAGTGTTTATATAGACGAAGGCGAAGAGGGTGACCACTTTGTCCAACGTAATGTTGACTACAGTCAGTGACACAATAATCGAGGGAAACAACCAATCACAGAGCACGTCGTCAGAGCAAGCCACTAAATCACTCACGGAGAGATATTGACAGGTCACTTCATACTGAAGTTGGTGGTGATGATGTCGACTAGCAAGATGATGAAAGCTTCACGACTAAATAACTCAGCCCAGAGAACACAACACAACCTGAAACAGAATATATCCTACAATTAAGACAATCCTTCTCTATGGAATAAATCACTCCATAGTACAATTTAAAGTCTACAGATTCCCTTCGCATGTTATTTGGAATTATCTTTAAAAATATACGTTTATACTTTGAGAAGACAGAGAGAAGAGTATACTCTAGATTCTTTGGACATCTACCAAAAAGCTCATGTGTAAGTGGAATAAGTGCCCTCATTAGCGCAGCCAATCAGCAAGAAAGAGACACTTTTACATCCTTCATGGTAATCAACAAACAAATTAATTCAAGCCTTCTCAAGTTTGCTGAGGTTGTAGTGCTCAAACGAATGAAACCTCAATAATGTGTGCAAAATAAAATACTGATAAGTCTTTCTTTGCCTTCATAAACTGACATTTTTACTCGTGCTTTTACTTGATGTCATCAACTTTTGTCTGAACCTTTCTCTCTTCACACATAATTTTGTTGGTCATTCTAACAGCTGAGTTCAACTCACTTCGTTGTTACACAATTTAGAAAACAGGCTGATTGTGCGGCCTACATAACTAGCTCCACAGGAGCAAGTAAATTTTTTAGACACACATCGAGGTGGCCAAAAGTGGCAACTTGTCCTTAACGCACTTTGGAATGAGTTGTTTACTAGAGAAGCTGATCTGCAGCTTCGCAGAGAATAATGTCTTCTTCAGTGATCTAGACAGCCAATTCTTCAGGATCTCTGTTGCCGTATCGCCTTTGAAAACAACTTTCATAAACAAGGTTTTCTTAGGAACTGTGAGTACTCGCTCCGTATTCTGATTTACTTTCAGGTTCTTATCTATAAATTCGGAAAGCGCATGCTTTCCAAAAGTATCTCGAAACACTATCCTGCATGGTTGTTGAGGGGAGAATGTAAATGAATCAACAGTTCGATTCTTGAACATTTGGTCAACTCTGGATATAAAGCTCAACCAGAATCCTCCTTCAATGTCACTTATCGTGTGAGATGGAATAACTTAAAAGGAATACGCCTTCGACAGTTGTGCACAGCGAAGGCACTAACAATTCATCAGTTTGAGCCTGATCTCTGCGTTCAAAAGAAGTATGTTCAATCTCTTAACAGTTTCTTTTTTTTCGATTTCATTATAATTAATTAGTTTATTATCACACTTATCTCATTCTTCACCTTCTTTACATCTATCTATCAAAAGGACATTCAATATTTGCGTTTCTTATCTACCAACAATTTTCACCTTGTCAAACTCCTTGCCTTACTCGATATTTCTACTGTCTTAGTTTATTATGCAACTATTTTGCATTCTTGATTCCGGTTTTATTCTAGCACTAGGTTAATGATATAATTATACCCTATTGTTTTATAATCGACCGTTATATGTTTATGATATACATAAATAGGATTGTACAGCTTTAGAGAATGATATCGTCGAAGAAGAGAATTTTCTTCACTGAATTATCTCTTCTCTATGACTTAATAGGCATGTTTCGTAGTCTAAAATTGGAAGTATGAAGCAGGTTATTCTTAAGTAAATGATGTGATTTTTGATGAATGTTCAGACTATTACTCAATAATAAGCAATGATTACCAGACCGAAAAATTACGAAATCCGCATAAACCCTCGAATCCAATTGATCTACAGCTCACTGGCGACTAGCTTTCAGAGGTGATCCTTGGAGTCCCAATGAGAAGTCATGACCAGTGTGAGGACAGAAACCAAACGATAATATCGAGTGATGGTTGCGCTATGTCATAAACTAATAGAAGTTGGAAATATATACCACTGAATTTTGACCGAGTGGCTTGATAATAAGGTGGTGTCCATGGCACTGCAAGGTCCTGGGTTTGACCCCCGGCGTGGTGGGGTGGACTGGGGTGGAGCCACGTGTGCGCACTGCTGAAGAGACCTATATTGAGACAAAACAGCTGTCCAGTGCTCCCAGGTCTCCAATATTCCTCTTACTAATGATGAATACCAACTTGGAAAATCAGAAAATAAGTGAATACTGGGTAATGATAAAGGTGAAATGAAAGTTTGAACTGCAGTCTGATTCGAACCAGTGACCAACGGGTTTCCGGCCCATTGCTCTACCAACTCATCTACGAAGTTCGACTGCTGACCACATTTTTATTTTACTTTAATCATCTAGGGTTTTGCCCGACTACCATGTGAATTCATGACGCATTTCTACCCCTAGATCATGTTCACACTGGCCTAACCTAACTAAATTAGAGAGGTGATTATCATTTTGGGACAGATTAGAAGAATACAGAGCTCCATACTTGCACGCCTAGTTAACACAGGACATCAAGTGGATACTAGAAAATCTTTCAAAATTACTCATCATATTCCAATTAATTTACCACATGGATTACGCATTTGCTTACGTCGCGTCGCAGAGGTGACTGCAATTCACCTTAACAAACCTAACCAAAAGAAGTTCGTTCATTCAATTTCATTACCGTGGCCGTCAACATGATGTAACTTCTAGGTTAACTTTGTACACCTCTTCCCCTTCTTGTTTCTACCAATATTCATTTGTTTTCTTATTGTTGCGTAATAGTCTATTGTTTATGACTGAACATTCATCAAAAATCACTCCATTTACTTAAGAATAACCTGCTTCATATATCCAATTTTAATTATTCTATTGACTAGTTACATGTTAATTTCTGAAACATCATGTTCATAGCTTAAAATCTGTAAGTATTTTTCACCAACTGCACACCACTTGACTGGTATTTTGACTGAATTGTAGAACTATATATTAGTGTGGAGCCTAAATGAGAATATTCAATTACACAATTTGTCTGTTCTTTATCACTAACCCATCTACTTGTCAATCTTATTACATAATTTTTAATCACCATTAATATTCTTTTTTCAAACTCTGTGTTGAATCACGATTGCCTATATGCGACATGTTACCATGACAGGTCTATGCGGCATAGTCATTATTTCTTTCTAATAAATATTTCAAAAAATCACCATAAATGAAGACATTAATTTAATGATGGTCAAAGTTATTCATTCCACATACTATTTGAACGAAATGATGACTTCTGATGTCAGTCACGCTTACATGGCTACATGCCAGATACTCGCAATCTTGAAACACATGTGTAACTGAAACGTCTCAGCTGATGAGGAAGCAACCTTGCCCAGCTAACTAGTTTACTAGTTACTAACCGGTCCAATCGCTAAAAAAAGCACGAATAAAATATACAAAAAATAAAAACAAACTTATTCCTCGCCGGAATCGGAGAGGCGAAATGACGCCAGTTGGTGAAAGCCATAGGGAAGCCAATTGGTTAATGTATCTTCTCTCAGTGAAAGCGAAAGTAAGAATGAAAACATTGAATATCTGCGCAATGTTTGAACCTAGCAAGGCTACCCAGATTGCAAAAGAAATGAGAAGGTATAGCATAGAAGCGCTATGAATCTGTGAAAGTAGATAGAATGGAAGTTGACTCTCCAAACTCTTAACTGGAAAGTCAATCATTTACTCCGTTATTGTCATCCAGAAGACAACTACGAGCACACTGAATTATGGAGTGACCATCATGATGTCCGCGTGAGCATCGAAGGCTCTCATCCAGTGGGAATCAATCTCCTACTGCATGATCATGACAGCGTGGTTCAACTCAAAAGGAAGGAAAGTCACAGTCATACACTACTACGCTACGCACCTACAAATAATGCAGATGAAGAGAAGAAGGAAGAATTCTACAAACAACTGCAATCAGTACAGGACAAGCCCCAGGTTTGTGACAATAAAATTCTAATGGGGAACATGAATGCCAAACTGGGAGCGGAAAACGCAAGAAGAGAACTTATTATGGGTGGTGAAGCATTCGGTGAAATCAATGAGAATGGAGAACTGTTTGCAGATTTCTGAGCATTTAATGATTTAGTGATTGGCAGCAGTGTGTACAAACACAAGGATATTCACAAAGCGACGTGGATTTGACTTCACCAGATACCAGGACACACTACACTAAAAATCAAATCGACTTCATCTGAATGTCAAGAAAGTGGAGACGCAGCCTACTGAAGACAAGATCAAGAAGGAGAGCAGATGTAGGTTCACACCACTCACTATCTAGTCTAAGGAACCTATCTCCCAAATCAAGCTGAAAGCCTTCAAAGAAGTCAGTGATATGCCATAGTTGAAGTTGAGCACCCAGAACAAAAACTGAAGAATGAGACAACAAAGGACATCTTCATGTAAGTCAGCCATCAGGACAAAATGGGAGACATTAGGCAACATATTTGTGGAAGAACACTGGAACTCTTTGAAAGAGAAATGAAGGGAAACCTGCATAACCATATTGCGAAGGAAGAAAAACAAGTAAGACAAGCAATGGATCTCGACGGACACATGGAAGCTGATAGAGGAGGTATAGGAAGATGGTGATGGTGAAGCAGAAGATGAAGTTGTGTAGTGCAATGATGAAAAACGAAAAGAAGAACTTAGTACAACGCATAATACACTGGACAAAGAAGTGAAGAAGAGTGCATGGAAAGACAAAAGACACTTCCACGACACACTGGCAAGTGAAGCAGAACAGGCTGCTGGTAGGACAGACCTGACAACATTATATCAAATAACCAGGTTACTATCTGAAAAGAGATCAACTCAGATGAAACCTATAAGAGACAGTGAAGGAAACTTGGTTGCAACCAAAGAGCAGAAACAAAGGAAACGATGGGATGGCCACTTCGAAAAACTCATGAATCAACCACCACCACCACTTGCAACTCGTCCAGAAATACCAGAAGAAGCCCAGCTACAGGACCACCAGTGAACACAAGCCCTCCGACAAAGGCAGAAGTTAAGCCCCCAACGCGATAAAGTTGCTGAAATCCGAGAAAGCGGCAGGACCAGATGGAATTTTGAAAAAACAGTGAAAACAGACGCAGAGACATCTGCATCGGACATGCTCACACCACTACTACACAAGACTTGGAACGAAGGAGGAAAGGAAAGGTACCTGCCTACTGAAAGAAGGGCTATCTTGTCAAACTCCCAAAGAAAAGCGACCTATCTCTTTGTGAGAACTGGCGCGGAATCTTGCTACTGTCGTTCCTGAAGAGACTAAAAGATGCACTGGATTCAAAATTACGGCCTGAACATGCGAGATTCAGGAAGTACAAATCATGTTACGATCAGCTTGCAACGCTACGCATCACCATAGAGCAGAGCACAGAATAATAATCAAATGGATCTTTGCCTCAACTTCATTGATTTTGAAAAGGCCTTCGGTAGCGTCGACCAAGAAGTAATTTGGCAGGTGCTTCAACACTTCGGACTTACTGCTACAAACCTTTATCAACAGCTATATGAAGACGCTATATGGCGAGTGATTCACAATGGATGCCTTTGAAGTGAAGATAGGTTGACAAGTAGGACAAAGTCGTCTACTATCACCGATGGCCTTCCTGGTCGTGGTCGACTCGACTTCACTGGACTGGATCATGCAACAAACTGTGAGGAGCAAAAAGATGGACACACGCTGCTCGATCGACGAAAAGACGATAGAAGATTTACATTCCACCAACCATGATGATTTATATCTAATATCGCACAGACTCGAAGACCTACAGACGAAAACTAACGAGTTGGCAGAAGAGGTGAGGCGAGGCGAGGCAGTGAAGGTGGGACTTCCTTCAAGTGAATGTGGAGAATACGGAGGTGATGAAGATACCCAAACAACAACAAGCACCAATCATCATCAACGGCAGAAACCCAAATTAAGTTGTCTCTTTCAACAACCAACCAACCAACCTACCTACCTACCTACCCACCTAGACACCATCGTCTCAACCATAGGTGGCAAAGGCACACATGAGCACGCTAAAGTCATGATCGGAAAGACAGCCAGTTAGGCCTTCCTGAATCAATCTGAAATCAGTGTGGAGATCTACCGCACTCAGCTTGTGCAACAACATCCAGATTCCCAGCACTAATTCAGTCAAGTAAGTCAGTGCTTCTATGTGACGGTTGAGAGACTTGACACATTACAGAAAGCATTTCCAACAAACTGCAGACACACATGAACACCTACCACCTACGCCTACTCAGGTGGCCAGAATAATAAGAGTAAGAAACAAGGAGCTCTGACCTGTCAACGAAATAACGAAGCGAGAACCCATCGCCTAACAAATATGCATAAGAGGAAAATGGAAATGGATTGGGCATACACTGAGAAGATTGATTGGGGATATCACGCGTCAGGCTAGACCAGGCCATCGAGTGGAGGCGAAATAGGAAATGACGAGTTGGGCGTCCGTGGTGTGGGGTGACATGGAGGAGATGGTGTGGGGAAGGAATGAGGCTGGTGTGCAGGCATTCATGTATCCAGGTTGAGAAGACTGTAGAGAAGGTGGTGAAATGGCGACGCTCTACTGAAGCCCTGTGTTCCACCAGGAACTTAAGGAGCAAGTTATAATAATAATGAAGAAACAGCAGAGAAATTAAATGGTATCATACTTTTCAACTCTAATCTTGTTGTTCTTTATCTTTTTAAGTTCTTAGAGAAGAATATATGCATGAAAAACATGCATGAATTCCCCATAATTAACCCTCAGTTATTGAATATGTATGTGTGCGAATTAATGTAAATAAAAACTATTGGAGAAAGCAATTTTTAATATCATCCTTCTTACCTTGTCAGTGAATAAGAAACTGACCAAAAATCGTGGTAATTCAAGTTCATCAAGTATATTAGTAAGATTCAATTTCACTCTTTGTCTATAAATTCCTGGAGGCATATTACAAAAACACATTGTATTTTTTTGATAAAAACGTGGTCTTTTCAGTGAACATTTTGATTGAGGAACATTAGCTGGCCAATAATCACAAACATTTTGAATAACGCTATCAATAAATAAAAGCATAAACGTAAAACATCAGTTAACTTAAACAAAATACATTGAAGTTACAAAAATTCAATTATTAATGAGTTTTGTTGCTCATTCCATACTGGTACAACTAGGCAGTGTCTGAAGTTCACCTTTAACAATCTAAGTAAAGTGGATGGAAATTCATCAAATGATTGGTAAACCGGTAAACACATAAACTCTTCCCATAAACTTGACGTAGGCCAGTGTACTATAATTTATTATTTTAATTTTACTGATAAACAACTAAGTTCATTTGTCCACTTGAAGTCACCTCTTTTTTAATGAGCTACAAATATTCTCCACCATTTCAAAATCATACAAGCCTAACTCACTTCAGGTTGTTCGAAGATGGAAGGACTTGCCCTAGGGGTAAGCTTCCACAAAAGAACAACTATTTTTCTTCCATGAGTGCGTACGTCAGCATGTTCTACCAAAGTGTCAGATATAGACCACCGATTAACTGTCGGATGGGATGGAAAATAGCTGAAAAAAGTGGAAGACAAATGGTACAATTGATGATCACAGATACATATCATCGGATCTGGAAATACCAACTGGTGATCAACAATCAAAAGAGAAAACTAGAAAGAATACTCACGACATAACACATTACAACGTTAACAACAGTAACTGAAAAATCAAGCAGACAATACAAAGAACAATGAATAAAAGCTCTAAGGAAGAAGCTTCTCAAAATCTCAGAAGCACCCGCAACCGAGGAAATAAACGACTGTATTGCCAACTAATCAAAACAACACGACTAAACAGTCCACCTGAGCTACAAATGTTCTCCATTATTTCAAAATCATACGAACATAACACGCTGCAGATATTACGAACTGTTCTTTTTCGTTGCCAAGATCCGAATTTTCAACACCAATGTCAAGTCAGTGCGTCTATATGGTTCAGAAAATCATTTTCAACAAACTACAGACAGTCATCAACAGCTGCCTATGGTGGCTCGATACTGAAGATCAGATAGCCAGAAAGAATAAGCAAGGAGGAATTCTGGGAACGAACCAACCAACAACCTACTACCCAGCAAATATGCATCAGAAAGTAGAAATGGATTGGGCATACGCTGAGAAGGCCGATTAGGGACATCATTAGCCAGGTTGTCCAGTGGAATCCAAAGGGGAAACGACGAGTTGGGCTTGTGAGGTGAGGGTGACATTGAGGAGATGGTGTGAGGAAGAAATGAAGGCTTGTGCACAGTCGCGGTGCCAGGTTGAAAAGACTGCACAGAAGAGAGTGCAATAGAGGCATGCTACTGAATCCCTATGTTCCATCTGCACAGGACCACTTAACTAACTCAGAATGATTAATGTCGTCCACACCAATCAACGAAGAGAAATAACAAAATAATCTTTGAAGGGAATATCGAGGGAAGAAGTAGAAAAGATTTCTTATGCCATAAACAAAGATATTGCATCATGATTACTACATCAGTCTATCTGAATACATTGGAAAGATTATTTAACAAAATGTGAGTTGGAAAACACTAATGTTATTCAGCGATAACAGAAAGATGACTATTTCTGCATAGAATAGATAACTATTAATTATTAGCACCAGTAAATATCATCGTCGACACAAATTATGAACTTTTACTTGAGAAATTAGTTCTGTTTTGAGTTAATTAACTGTTCAGTTTGCTAAGATTGTGATAGACGGTTACGAGGAAACAGGTTTTCAAATATTATTTTTCCCCAGTTCAGTTCATATACTGATGAACAAGTGTCAGTTTTCATGTATCTATTGGATGCATGAAAATACATACCAACTGGACTTTACAGATACGACAACTTTTCATTATTGTTCTGTTTATAGTGTACTTTGAATGTGGAACTAACTGAAGACAAAACTAGTTGACATGCTCTTGTGGATAAGTGTATGTGTAGGTCGTAGGAAGCGAAGTCTAACCAACTACATCACGAAGTACTATCTTGTACATCTTTCTAGAGGAGAATACAAGTCAAGTAACAGCTCCATTCTACACCATTTGGTCAACTCTGGTTAAAATCCTATTCCAAGTCAAGCCGAACAATTCGAAAAGAATACTGGCTGGTTACTTATGAGTTGGATAGGGATTAACAATACAACAATGAAAACTGGCCTACTTTCCTACGTCGATATGCATTAGTTCAAATTTCACTTTGAAATTGTGATAATATTTCGCTTTGATTGTCAGTTACTATTTTTCAACCTATGGGTTATCACCACAATCGACTGCATAATTTTTTCCACACCCAATGACTACGCAATCTACCTCTAACTGAAGAAACAGTCTACTCCTAGAACACTTCATTTTAATGACCTGATGGCTAATAGTACTTTTATTTGTCGGTGACTGTACAGCTACTGAGAATAATTCACAGAAAAAATATTTATCTGGGTTAGTATGAATTTCTCATTTGGCTTTTTTCAAATAAAATTCCCTGGGATACATTGTATAGGCTACAGACGATAATTCCAAGTTTTTGTTCATAAAATTGACTTAAGCTTAATCTAAGCCCCAGAAGTTATTGAACACGTTGATAAAAACGTGATAGTACTGTGTAGCCTGGATTTAAATCATATTACAATAGTGTATTACCAAGCAATATGATAACTTGTTCCCTCATAAGCTATTTCACGTAGTTCCAAAGTACGTCTGATTATAGTTTATTGTCTTAGAAATCCACAGTCTCTGATATTCATACCGGTAACGTACAAGCGACTTGAAGTTTCCCACAGGCTAGATTTTCATTCTACGCTCAATCATTTTCGAATTTCCATAATACAAGTTCGTTGAACCACGGCTATCTAAGATAGTCAAAGTGGTATTCTGAAAAGTTTTTTCTAAAAGATGGTAAATCTTTCATTGGACCATCTTCAATACTGAGATGAGATTGCGAGAATAGCAATAACACTCAATTGGATTTGATCACGACCTTTATTACAAAGTTTTTTGTAACGTCATTTAAGTGCTAAGCACTTTCGAAAATTATTTTTCTTATTGTTAGCCGCTTGGGTTCCTAGTGGAAAACAGGGCTTCAGTAGCACATCTCCATTCCAATCTCTTCTCTGCAATCTTTTCAACCTGGCACCACAACTGCCCACAAGCTCTCATTTCTTCCTCACACCATCCCCTCCATGTCATCCCCACCTCATACGCCCAACTCATCGCTTCCCATCCGGGTTCCACTCAAGTGCCTGGCCTAATGCATGATGTCCCCGAATGGTCTTCTCAGTGTATGCCCAATCCATCTCCACCTTATCCTGCATATTTATTCAGCGATAGCTTCTTGGTTGGTTCGTTTCCAGTCACAGTTCCTTGTTGCTTATTCTTTCTGGCCTTCTCATTTGATCTTCCGTATCCAGTGAGCGTAGATGGCAGTTGTTGATGAATATCTGAAGTTTGTTGGAAATCCCTTTCGTAACGCACCAAGTCTCTGAACCATCACATGGAAGCACTGACTTGACTGATATTGGTGTTGAAAATCCGCATCTTGTTCCACACGCTGAGTGCAGTGCACACTGGTTTCAGGCTAATGAATGCTCGTCTTGCTGTCTTTCCGATCCTAGCTGGCTTTGAAGTCCTCGTCTGTGCCGCCTGTAGTTGAGTTAGTGCTGCGTAGGTAGGTGAAACAGGCACTTCCGAAAAGCTAAAGTTTAAATAGAAAATAACTTTACAATTCAAGTAATATAGTAGTTAAGTTGAATTACTTACCCAATATATAATGGTGGAAATTCAGGATTTATTCGAACTTCTAGAATTAAACGATATTGCTCAGTTAACTCTTTATGTAATTGCATAACATAATGTATACGTGCATGAACATTACCATCTTTTAAAATTAAAACAGATGGACGGATAGCTATTTTATGAACTGTGATCGCTGCAACTGCATTACTTGTTACATGCTGATTCAATTCAACTTTATCCTGTGAATTGTTTGCTATTACAATAACACTGTCAGATAGTTTTGGTTCTTGATCTACAATTGTATCATCTTGTATTGAACGAGTTTTACGTATCACAGGGTAAATTGGTTGTTGTTGTTGCTGCTGTTGACTTTTATAGTTCTTTAAAAGATTTGAAAAGTTTCTATTTCGAATCCACTTTTTTCTTAAACCGGATAATCTTTGATTGTAAGCTGCATATTTTCTTCGAATCTGCCTAGAGAAACGAGTTCTGTCATGCATGCGCAATAAATTCATTTCATATTGGTGAATTTCTTCTGAAGATAGTAAGTCTGGAGCTGGTTTCACTCCATCTGTTCGGAAAGAAATAGAATCAAGACTAGTATTCAGAAACATAGTCACTAATAGAGTTGATTTAAGAGATAACTGATTTAACAGCTAAAATGTTACCTTTTTGGCATGCTCTGGAACTTGAAGAGATTAGCTCCAGACTCCAGTCTCTGTGGGAAAAATATCATTCACTTGGGAGGGAGATACACCCAACTGACAAGTCGTAAACAGAAAAAAGGTCAGATCCTGGATTTCAGTCCTGCCTACTATTCATCAATGCTATCAAATTGAAACTACGTCCAACACTGAGGCATCGAAAAAGGAGCACATATACCAAAAAAGATCAACAGTTCGAAAGAATAAGCAACGGAAAATTAATAGCAGCAAAATAGACTCGGTTTATTTTCGTCCAGTTTCATAAATGGGAGATTGAATACTATTTTGTATCAAGTGGAATCATATTTCATAGTATTTTAATTCCCACCGGCTTCTGGGTAAGCTGGATATGAAAAATTAAGCTTCTGTACTCCAACTACCCAATTTTTACATTTTTGTTCAAGGTTGACATCCATATTCTTAAATTGCTAGTTGGAACTAAAGAATTCCGAAGTCTCAAAGACAGACAAAATCAGCTTAGAACCTCACACACAGGTGCATCTAGCTCAAGTTGCAACACTTCACAGTAATATACTGAGAGTCAGTTGATAGAAAAAGAGTGAGGTCAAAGAAGATAAAGTAGTGTGATAGATTGGACAATTTGAAGATAACAGTTAGTTCAAATATTCAAGCTTTAAATACCAAGGAGTGAATATATGTGTGCCATAGTGACTAAAGTTACCAACTACTGATTCCTATCGTATCGGGAACACTAAAAACCCAGTCTCCATGTCCCCACACGGCTCAGACCAACAGTCAGGGACTTCATCAAGTGGTGCTAGGTCTGCTTATGGTCACGTTAAACCCTCTCCTAATCAAATCCGACTTCTATATTACATTTGTTTATTTGATTTATAACACAATGGTGATACATCGTTGTTTACTTGATGATGATCATATCAAGGGAATCACACATTGCTTTCGACGTCTGAGTTTTATAATTCTGTCACCCCATATGATTTGTTTCTGGTGGTATTAAAATTTCTCATATCTCTGGTATAGGTGTTGCATGATTTCTGTTACATATCTTGGGTAGGTATTGATTCGATGAACAAAGATTCAGTAATCAGTCTCTCTCTTCACCTAACTAACTAAATTGGACTTAAGTATAGTAGTTTGTCATATCAAATTTATCAACTTTTGTAGTTCAGTTATGATTAAAACGAAGGTGGAAGCTAAAGAAAAGTTATTGAAATCATGTATTAGTGACCTTCACATAGAGTCATTTCCAGTAAATCCAGATAAATATGTGACGAACTTGTCTTCAGTTGAACTTTCGGTATGTGAGAAAGAATCTCTTTCCCTTGGATTTAATTTTTCTGTCCCATACCATCATAACAATGATTTAGCCATCGATGACCATTTCGAAAATTTATATGATCAGTTAACTTCTCTAGTCCCTACCTCTTCGGACAACCAGAGTTGGTTGAAGGCTAAACTAGTTGATATAGCCCATCAATTCCATAACCCAGGTCCGAAACAGAGATGCATTTTAACTACGCAACACTTCAAGTCCCTGAAAAACTTACAGAGGAATCCTGATGTGATAATTCTTAAGCCTGATAAAGGATCAGGTGTTGTGTTGATGGACAAAGTAGACTACAAAAATAAAATGTTGTCTATTCTTTGTGATAAAAGTAAATTCTTGGCAGATGTTCCATCAGAGGATATAAGAAAATTAGAAAGAAAAGTAACAACTAGTCTAGTTAAACTCCTTAACACGGATGTCATTGCTAAAGCGGAGTTTAATTCCTTGAAACCCATGGGATCTAATTTCCCAAATCTATATGGACTTCCAAAAATTCACAAAATTGATAATCCACTACGCCCAATATTGTCAATGTGTCAGTCTCCCACACACAAATTGGCGAGGTGGTTAGCCGAATTACTGAGCCCGATTCGTAATGATTTATGTAAGTATTCACTGAAAGATACGTTTGAACTTGTTGATTATCTTACTGATTTGAATATTAAAAATAAGAAAATGTATTCTTTTGATGTTAACTCTCTGTTTACAAATGTGCCTCTAACGAAGACAATTAATATTCTTTGTGACCACATATCTTCGAATTATCCTTCTTTCCCTATTCCTTCAACTTATTTGAAAGAACTGCTTTTATTATGTACTGATAAGGTTCATTTCACTTTCGAAGGTGAACACTTTCGGCAAATTGATGGTGTAGCCATGGGGAGTCCATTAGGACCGTTATTAGCTGACGTATATATGTCACATACTGAACTAATGGCTCAAGATCTAATCACCAATGTCACACTCTATAGAAGGTATGTGGATGATATCTTTGTAATATGTGACACAGATGAGGATGCCAAGAGGTTGTTAAAAAGGCTTAATACCGTACAAGATCATATCAGTCTGACATGTGAGGAAGAAAAAGACCATCAACTTGCATTTCTTGATATACTCTTGTGCCGGAGGGAAGATGGATCTATAAGACGATCAATATATAGGAAGTCTACTTGGACAGGACAGTATTTGAATTTTCATAGTTTTTGTCCGATGAAATATAAGAGAGGCTTGGTAAGATGCTTGTTCAATAGAATCCAACGTATTTGTACATCTGATACGATGGATGATGAGAATAAGTTTCTGACAGACACTCTAGTGGAAAACGGTTATCCATTACAGTTTGTCAACCATTGTAAAAAACAGTTGACCCCAAAGCCTACAGTTTCCTCGGTCCCGAAGAAAAGCATATTTCTTAAAGTACCATACAGAGGGGAAACAAGTAGTATGATATTGAAGCAGAGATTAAAATCTGTTATCAGTAAAACATACTATGCAGCTCAGCTTATCATTGTTGAGACGACAAAACACCTGCTTCACCACAAACCTCAACCTCGCACAAATGATTACATCACATCCTACTGCGTTTACCAATTTACATGTATGTGTGGGCACACATACATAGGGAGGAGTAATCGTTCAATGCAGACTAGGGTGGGTGAACACATCCCCAAATGGCTAGAAAAACAGTTTAACACACAAACTTTGATAAGTGCAGGTGACAGACATCCATCGTCATCTATAGCAAAACATATTATTGAAATGAATCACAGGGTTAATACGAAAACAGCGTTTAAGATAATATACAGGAATAATCAGGGGCGCATACTGAAGTTTGCCGAAGCGTTAGCCATTCGTAAACTTAATCCCCCACTGTGTGTACAAAAACAATTTGTTGTTTCACTTAATTTACCTTGGTAATCCTTATCTGATTATATTACCAAGACTAGTGTCACAACCTTTTCATATTCACTATATTTGACCTTTAATTTTCATATATAAATTGACTTGACAAGTAAATGTGTGATCAGATTGTTCGAAATGTATTGCGCAAATACATCACATTTTTCAGATAATCTTCGTCTTCTAATAGCGTTATCGAAATTAAGTACTGTGGTTTTATCCAACCCAGCCTATTGTATGATTTTGTGTTAATGCATGCATTACAATAGCCGAGTTGTTTTCTAGATTATTGATCTTACGAGGTAGAAAATAAATAATGAGAATTACCTATATTGGATTACAGAATAAAATGAAGACCAGAAAGTTGGCTTAGATACTATTGTCTACAGGAAACCGACACATTCTAACAGGTATCTGAACTTCAGGTCATTTCATCCAATATCAGTTGAAACGGATTACTATATGGCCAAGTTATAGATAAGGATCATTTTGAAAAACTGACATTATTAAGGAGAAAGTAAAGTATTGTTTTTTTTTACAGTTTAGTTTATTACTAGCCAGTATGCGATAAACACTAATCTGTTATATCTCACCTTTTACATTTTATCTCATTTAGGCAATCAAATCACCATCATATTCGAATTAAAGTAGCAGTTACAAAATGAGTCACAGTTTAAGTTTACTAGATGTGTACAACAATATGGGTTTTGATTTATTTCTTTAGAAAGGTAGTAAAATATCTTGGTCGTCTTCAAAAGCGTGAGTAAGTATGAATTTGTTTTACAATAGCTTTTCCCTACACTGTGGTAAAAGCTTAGTATTTTCATGGTAACGTGGGTCTAGTTTGATAAACATATGGTAAAACTTGTAAACACAATACCATCGCTACTGTATAGTGCACAATGTTGATGATAATTTATACAGTAAGTAATATGATCTTACAGTCATATGAAGAGCTGTTTAGCCAATGCTCTGAAATATGACTCTAAACTGCTGAAAAGAATGGTTATTTTAAAATACATTTTCCTATAAGACTAAATGAAAGTTTTATCAACCAAGATGAGTTACATACCAAACAGTCACAGAGGTTATCTTTGACCGGACTCGAAGCAAATGCTAAGATCGTTAAAGGAATAACTGTAAACTGAAGGATATTACGATATTGGTGTTTTAAAAAAAAAATTTACCTCAAGCATTTTAATCAAAAGACGAATAACTGAGTTTTAAAGGATAGACTAACTAACTGATAGTTATACATCTTTCAATCATGACCGCTTTTTGGTAATCAGCCTTCGCCTAATTCTGATTTACAATACTTGTAAACTTTCAGCACTCTATTTCCATAAGTTGAACCTTTTCATTTTGAAGTATACATATTAAAGAAATTTGTTTTCCTTCAAGTAAGGGGTTTAGAGAAAGATATATTAACATGGTAAGAAGAAGCTAAAGTCCTACACTCCAGTAGAGTTTCATCTAATAGAAGAAAACTTGGTCACCATACTCCTAATCATATTGATTCGCCTATGACATTTGTTACTGAACTAACGAAACGTATTGGAAAGAAATGAAACATGTTACAAAATCTTTCGGATCATTTGAAACCACTTTTCATGGGATGCATCAATTAATTCAACGGGAAAAATGGAGAAAAAACAGATC